TCCCTGAGATAATCGTCGACATTGGATTCATTGGTGTTAGGATCAAAGCGTTCTATGTCTTTAGCTAGCGATTCAATTTGATGTACACGGAGCCCTGACTCACGGTACGGCGCATCATCCTCTGACTCTGACCCACGGTCTGTCTCAGAGGGCGCTGGATATCGCTGGTGTGCTCTGGGCTCCCAATGTTGACTCCTGGGGCCCAAATCGGGGTCCGGCATGTTGTGGCGGGCTGCTGGCACGTCACGTGTGTGTCCTGGGAGGTCCTCCTCCCGGGGCACGTCTGCGTAGTGCAGCCTGCGTCTTTCAACTGGGGCTTCTGCGTAGTACGCTTTGTCCGGGTACGGACTGGCGTATGATGCTTTGTCCTGCAGCTGGTTATCAGCATGCCGAGTACCGGAGTAGCTAGGATGGGTAGATGGTTGAGGTGCAGGTTGGGCTTGTGCATAACCCCAGCCGGCACCTTGCACCCTTCGTGGACTGGGGGAGCGGTCTAAATAGAGGTGCCGCTCAGCTGGTCGACTTCTCACTGATTGAGAAGGCCGTGAAGATGAGGGTGGTGGTCCAACCTGGGGTTCGAGGGCGAACTGCCCTCGGCCCCTAGGTGGTCCTGAATGCCCTATAGTGTGTGTAGGGAACGGGGCCGAAGGTTGGGACTGATAAGCTTGATCTCTCCCCTGCGGCGTGCGTCCGTCCAGAGAGTCATGGTGTTTCCCCCCTTCCCACTGTCTGTTGTCATCAGCAGAGGGGGGCGGGGTCTTCTCCCCATCTTCCCCAGAATCGGTGCTGGTGTTGTCTTCCTCCTCATCCTTCAGACTTCCATTTCGCTGTTTTTCAGCTAGCATACTCTGGAGGTTCATGATCTCTCGATCATGTTGCAGTTCTCTCTGATAGAGGATCAGGGCTAACTTAGCCAAATGAACCTGGATTGGTTTTGTACCATCCGGGTTTTCTATTTGATCAATTACAGCATCAAGCTGTTCTTCAGTGAAATCCCTAGAAGGGTAGTCGGGTTCTCGAGCAACCGCGACCAGTTTGGACAATATTTGTCCAGATAATAGGCCAGGTTCACATTCGTGGGCCGCAGCGCCACCTGGTTGCTGGGAGTTGGTCAGTTCACTACTCTGTCCCTCCATTTTAACAACCGAACCAAAAATAGCCTAGTAGAGCTTCTGCAGATAGCTCAAGCTGCACCTTTTGGGCAGCAACTGCTAGCTTTGAAGCAGAAAAACACTAAATTAACCTTTGTGCGCACAGGTTTTAGCGTTTTAAGATTGCACGGAATGCCGTGACTGACGCTTAAAATACTATTCCTTTCAGTATTTTAGCAAAAGCTGGTGCGTTGCCGTAGCAACGTCTTACAACACTTGCAGTGTTAAATGTGCTATTATTCCTTCAGAATATTAGCAAACAGGGTGTTATCAGTCTTTGAGTGAATGTTTCAGTTAGTTATAATAGCCACTGTGAGTTAAAGTCGCTAAATTAGCAGTTAATTTTAGCCTAAAAGGGTTAGTCAGAATCACTTACATACTGCACCTTTAATGAAGAACTGAATTTTAACCTAAAAGGTTAACCAGAATTAATTACACGTTGCACCTTTAAGGAAAAACTGAATTTTAACGTAAAAGGTCAACCAGAATTAATTTACACGTTGCACCTTTAAAGAAGCACTGAGTTACTGGTGAGAGTTCGATGCAGCTTCCTGCTCAGCGAAATCAGCACCACTCTGTTGCTGGTTCAAGGCTGAACAACTGATTATTTTAATTCAAGCTAAGATTTATTTGTTTGTTTGTGCCCGATAGAAATCTCTGTGTATCCAAGCCTCAGACGGGGCACCAATTAATGTTGGGGTTATTAGGAGCGAACAATTCGTAAGCTTTAACTTACTTTTGGATTCTTCAATAAATTCTGTAAATATGGGAATATTTACTGATTTATTAATTAATTAAGATATTCTTGGATATACGGGGCACCATTCCCCTTTAACCGGGGAAAATTTGAATCCAAAACTCTTATCAGTCTTTCTTGAAGTTCGTAGAATCCTTGGAGCAGAGACTTCTCTTCGACACAACAAAGCTACTGGAGACGAAAATCTGAATTTTATAACGTTTAATTAACAATTTGTCAAATGAATAAACAGTGGCATAAATGACTAATAACCATGTGATATAATAAAAGGATGTATATTCAAAATAATGTTCAAGGTGTTTTGTGTGTATGTATGTGTGTGTGTGTTTCTAAAATGGAGTCTGTATGCAAGATGGCTGACCCCTCTGTCTGGCTAAAGTGTGGGTGGCAACTTGCACTTTAACTTCCAAGGCACTTAGAATCAGTAGTAACTTAACCTTAAATCACTCAAAACATTTCAAAGGATCATGAAACAACACAAAAGATTAATCACAAGTTAATATCTTTTAGTTTAACCACGTGGCCAAGCAGAAAACATTTAAAGATACCAAACAATGATCAATAAGCAGTTTATTCTTTCAAAATGACCCGACGGACGTGTTTGGGAACGAAAGAGGAAAACACGAAGCTACTTTTAAGCAATAGGCGCGGTTTTATTGCTTATTCTGGACTATAGAGGAAACGGAAGAAGAAAAGGAGGGAGAGAAATGAGTTTTCTGATCACCAGAACAGCAAGGCGTCCCCCGCTGTTTTGATTTGACGGTTCTCCGTGTTTCTCCGCAGTTTGGCGTCGTCCGTCGGTTTGATGCTTTCTCCGTTGTTTTGGCGTTCTCCGGGAGTGTTTCTCCACGGGCTGGACACAAAGAGAACGAAGTTTCTTTTGTGCTGAGTTTGACAACTTACAGCGTCTCTGAGAGCTGGATGGAGCTCCGCTCGTTCCCAGTCAGGTCCCGATGGAGTTGGAGTGGTTTCCAGCGGTTGCGTGGCTCAATCTTGGGCACTTAGAGCTTCCGCGTGTTCAAGGGAGTCGGAGCGTTCGACAAGCGTGTCCTTACCGCCAGGTATCCTGGGCAAAAGAACGAGGTTTCTTTGTCTCTGCTGAAGATTTATGGTCTTAGTTCGCGGGAAAAGCTCCACGGCCTCCCGCACATGCGCAGAACGTGTTTCTGGTATTAGGCGGTGACATCATCCCAATGCTTCCGTGTGCAAAGCATCATGGGAAATGAAGTTTCTTGGCGCTGATGTGATTATTTGCTTTTCAGAGCAATTTAAGCACAGTCATTTTGGAGAAAATCACTGCATAGTAATTTCCTCATGAGGTCAGACCCTCAACACAGGTATAAATGGTAAAAGTGAGACGATTTCTCAGTCCTAGCTCCGTCACTCTGGAACCAGTTCCCAACCTCAGCTAGGGTGTACCCATCTCTGCCAGTCTTTAAGAGTCGGCTAAAAACCCACCTCTTCCGCTTGGCGTTCTCTGAACATGTTTGAGGTTGGCCCTCTTTTATGTTGATTTTATTTCCCTGTTTTCATTGGTCTCTTTGTTTTATACATTTGTTTCTAGTTTAATGTTTTACCTTTTTTGCACTACTTGAATCACTTTTATAATCTATTTATTCATTGTGTTTCACATGTCTTATGTACTGTGTTCAGGGCCTTGGGCTTCCTGACAGGGTTGCGGAAGGCGCTTTATAAATAGAGCTTTGATTGATTGATTGATTTACCTGAACTTTCTCTGGGCATATGCAAGCTTCTTAAGATTCATAATCGTGTGCGTTGGGGATGTAAAACTGGCCTCATATGAACCTTGGCGCTGGTTGTGTAGACACTCAAATTCAGATAGCGTGAGACGAGGAAGTGCCAGTGATACGTGACTAACTGAGCATAACATTAACTGTCACATCCAATAGATCTGGAGTCTGCAGGCTGATTGTGTGTCTGTGTGTTTCCCCATAGCAGAATGTTTTAAATCTGTGCCACGCGTAAATTTGTGTTTGTTTTCCCAAATAGTGATTGTGATTATACTTGTGAATGTATCAGGGTGTGTGTTTGTTGAGGAGAGAAAGTGGGCAGCAGCTGTTCCATCCTCTGGGAAACAGCAGAGAGGGAAAACCATCTGTCCTCGTTGTCATGACATCGAGAGACAAACAGCCCCATCCGGTTCCAATTGGCGATAATGATGCTGATAGGTGAAGCAGAGAGCGAGAAAGGGAGTGGTGCTGTGGTTTATGTGGTGTGTGTGTGTGTGTGTGTGTGTGTGTGTGTGTGTGTGTGTGTGTGTGTGTGTGTCAAGGGGTAGGACAGACACATGATAATAAAATCAAACAAATTTAAGCTAAATTCTTGTCTTTTAAAAAAAATAAAAAAATACACACAACAGTCATTTTGGGCATCATTGAGCTGATTTTTCTTCTTCAGTCTTCTAAAAAATGTCACTGACCTCTTGTTGCCCTGGAAACCTACACCTAAACCATACGTGCTTAGAGAGGGAAAAGTTTTTCTATTACTTAAAAACTTTACTGAATTACTTTCCCTCTTATGACTAGCCTAGTGAACTAGACCAAATTCTTGCTTTGCAAAGATTGGTCTAGGCATGCTCCATTGGAACCTCCGCAGCTCCTACCAGAACTCTGGCTAGCCAATCACAGCTCTCTAGAGGGGTTTCAAACACATAAAGAACTGTGATTGGTTCATAATGGTGGACCAATCATAGTGCTCTATCTGCTTAGTGAACAAATCACAGAGTTTTATCCACTTTGTGGGCCAATCAGGGCACTCTATATGCCTGGTGGGTGGGATGATGCAACAGAGTGAAACAAGAGTATGTCACATTCATTGTCCAGTGGAATGCGGAGATCATTTGAAAGACAACGGTAGAACCCGCCCCACAACCGAGAGCCGTCAATGGAGCGTGGCCAGACTAAATAATACATTTATTCAGGCTTTATTCAGGCTTGCCAGGCTATCTTATGACCTGAATGAGAGAAATTGTTGGTGTAGCATCTCCATTTGTCAACGCCAGTGACTTATGCTCAATGTAACTCCATGTTTAGCTTCAGAGTAACACGTTTTCTTCTTTTTTCCACCTACAGTCAATTTTGACCATTTCCAAATCTTGAGGGCAATAGGAAAAGGGAGCTTTGGAAAGGTAAGTTCAATTTTGTGTTTACATTTGTTTTCTTTTCCATAGTTTGTTAATTTATAAATCACAAAATTGCACGACAGGTGTGAATCACTACAGTGATGCTAACAATATGATAAATGAAGGTACGAGATCTGAGAAATGACTCAACTAGAAACCATCAAATAGTAGTCAGGTTACATTTTTTGCAGATTTGTTTCAATAAAATATTGTCAAACACAACTCCTAAATGTATTTCAAACATTTTTTTTGTCATAGTTTTTATTTTATTTAGTACTTTTTTTTCCATTTGTCTTTTTAGCTCACAAATCTGGAATTTAAACAACCACTTTGTTATTTTGGTATCATTCATTTAATTTGTCATAAAACAGATGAATAAATCTGACATTTTTCTTTCTCTTTCCAAAATTTGTAGTGACATTTTTTTAATACAGATTATGCATTCAGGGTTTTTTTTTAATATTATTTTGTACTTTATCCATTTCTGGGTCAAACTATCAAAATCAAATATATAAGATGATGGTTTAGATTTGACTAAATTTTAAATTATGAAAATAAAAAAATGCATGTTTGTCCTTTTGCACACACAAACAGATTAATCTGTAAACTTCAAGTTTTCTTTTTCTATCTGGCACCGCACATTAGCCCACCCTCAGTCTGGTTATAAAACATTATTATATACCTTCTGCTTTAGTTTTGCTAGTTTACTCAAGAACAGCCAACAACACAAAAGAAACAAACCACAAAAGTGACTAAAATCTGCACTTATAGGTATTTTAAGCCCATATAGGAGTGCACATACATCCTCCCATAGATCTGTCCAACAACAGTTAAGCAGTCTGATCACAGTCGAAGGCAAGCTGTTCAAATCAAGGAGTGATGGGATCAGGGCCTGGTTGATTAATTGTGCCAGCTGGTCCACAGATCACTCTCTTAGATAGCAGTAATCATTGGCTTATTGATGCTTGCAGCACAGACAAGAACGACTGCTAACAAATGGAGTAAATTACAGATGAGCACATTGAAATCATACACGTCAAAATGTAAAACTGATGTTTGTGTCATTTTTGATGTATAAAGCCAGAGGCAACAGGCTGGAATCCGCCTGGTGTTTTATCTTCTGCTGTCCCCACATCCATCATATCCAGACTGCCGTGCACAAACAACCTGATGGACTGCAAGTAGACTTTCTCGTTTTAGCAATGCAAAAATACACGTCAGTGCGGAATATTAGACATCTTAAGAGATGACTCAATTTGCGATCACACAGATTGAAGATACATATTTTGCTTCTTTAATTGTTCTAGTTATTGCAGGGATGTTACAAACACTCACTCACCGAGCTCATGTGCCAAAAATGTTTTCATTTAAAAACAATCAGTAATGAAATAACTATTTTTGCAATATTGTGTTTTAAAAGCTACCAGTGTTTGGTGAAAATGCAAGTTAGGTTTGTTGAAAATTTTAATCTCACAAGATATTGACATTATTAAAATAATTTGCTGTTAACTTAAATGTGTTCTTATTAAAAAAACATCCTAATAGTTATCCCTTTACATTGGAGCTCTAACAGTAATCACATATATTGTAAAGCAGAGGTGTGACCAAGTCACTGCTTTGCAAGTCACAAGTAAGTCACAAGTCTTTCCAGTGAAGTCTCGAGTCAAGTCCAAGTCAAAGACAACCAAGTCCAAGTCGAGTCCAAAGCCAATGATGTGGAAGTCCAAGTCCTTAACTTTGAATTTTCAAGTCATGATCAAGTCATCTGTCAAACTTCTATTTAATGACAATGATAATAAATAAATCCCAGAAATAAAGCTTCTTAAAGCTTCATTTATTTGCTTAAACAAGCAGGAAGTGCAACTGAAACTGATTATAAAGAAAGTGCTGCTGCATTTAGCGGTACATCAAACCCAGAACCAAGAATGATTCATGATTTTTCTCCATGTGTGCCACTTTTGTGCTAAAATATCAGATATGCTCAAGTCATCATCAAGTCAACAGAAGCAAGTCGATTCAAGTCTGAGTCAAGTCATAAGTCTTTATAGATTTTATCAAGTCAAGTCAGAAGTCATTAAAATAATGACTCAAGTCTGACTAGAGTCATGTGACTCAAGTCCGCACCTCGTTGTAAAGAGTTGTCCTATTAAGTTTAAGGCATGCTTCAGTAAAACAGAGACTGAAACTAAGCTCCACCATATCGTCGACCAGAGTTTCAAAAGATTTAGCAGATAAAACCCAAAGAACAGCAGCAAGGAATTCATCCTCCTTATCTTTGCAGGTCTGCATAGTGCAGAAGAAAGATACCAAGAAGATGTATGCAATGAAGTACATGAACAAGCTCAAATGTGTGGAACGGAATGAAGTGAGGAATGTCCTGAAGGAGATGCAGATCATGCAGAACCTCGAGCATCCTTTCCTGGTTAATTTCTGGTAAGGCAGCAAGCTTTAATTCACGTTTTCTATTAGTTCTAACAGATGTGAAGCAACATACTGTTTTTGTTTTTTATCATGTTGCAAAAGACACAATTTAGTTACAATGGCAAAACACTGAGCTGGCAGCATGTGGAGATGAAATAGAAACTATTTTTGATCGGGTACCACATCCCTCTGTAGCACGTAGCATTGGTTAGCTCCAAGCAGATGGAACAAAACAAATAAAGTTCACAAGTGAGAAGATTTCTTGCAGTATCAGATAATATGAAGATAGGAATAATTTTGTTGTATAACAATCATGTGGATCCTTAGGATACACTGAAGAAAACACTTTGTTTTAGTTGCTGCAGCTTCTGTGTAGCAGTGACAAGGGGTAGTGGGGTGGCAAAGAAGGGAGAGCTGAGGAGGAGGTCCACTGCAGGGTTTCGTATTTAATCACATTTACCACTAAACAAAAAGTCCAAAATATCTAAATGTTTGTTGTTTGGCAGAACAACTTTAAAGGTGTACTCTTTAATCAATACATTAAGCATGATTGACCAACACTATAAGATAAATCAAGCACAGAGCTAGTTCTTCAATATAATAATACAAATTAATTTAAAGAGCAATCACTTAATCCAAGTAAGAATAGAAATAACTTCTATGGCATTTTATTTTATATCATATATCTCTAGGTCGTGCCTAATCCATGCCTAATCTCTGCACCCCGCCACCCCACGGACAGAAAAGGCTGCGTGGAAAACTTCTAAGTTTGGAAGCCCTTACTCAACAACAAAACAGGTTCAGGCTTGTGTTATTTGTGGTGATAAAACATCAGCTTTGCACGTTTTACCCAAGAGGAAACAAGAGTGAATGGAGGCAGAGGAAGAGTCGCTCGGCTGTTAGGCAATCAGAAGCAAGACATTTGCTTATCGTAATTTTAATGAGTAAGACTCAAAATCCTATCCTTTTCCGTCCCACCACTCCTCCGGCTAACTTCTACTTCCTGAAAAAGGAGCATTAGAGCTATTTTATACTAGAGACCAGAGGAGATTTGTTGATATAATAATAATAATAATAACAATAACAATAAGTGTATGCTCACTTTGTGGCATTAAGAGTGCTACTAGATTGGATTTTAACACACAAGAAGAGTCTGATCAATGTGGCAGTGCACTCTTTCACCCTTTCTAGTTTTATGTTGACTGGCACTTTTCCATTTAATCACTGAGGTTGTAGAAATGTCCAGAAGGATGTTGACCACTGAGAAAGCCACCATCCATGTCCATCTCACTCTTTGAAGTTGCTAAATGGAAAATTCAGTTTGCTCACTGAACCAGGCTTTTATAGGTGTTACTTTCTCCTCTCGGCAGCTTCTCGTTGAATCCAGAGCTGAGGGAGTCTTCCCCTCAACAGCTTATTAAACCTGCGAGTGCCGATCAAAGATGGCTCATCAGATGCCAGTTGCCCTTTATCGTCATCGCCGGTACGCCAGAGTTTACCGAGTCACAAATGCCTTCTTTTAAGGTGTCCAATAAGTAAGACTTGTTAAGCTTTCATCTGAAAGGCATCATTAATTCTTGATGAGCACTTCTACTCTACAGTGAGACGTAGCCACTTTAGTATTCTGCCAGGAGGAGAAGCACAGAGGTGAGAAAGGCTGCTCAGAGACAAAGATGCTTGGACACAACTTTTGACAATCTGTCATTTCAATTTTAAAGCAAAGTGCAGTCATACATTTTAAACACACGTCTGTTTTGGGGATTCTCTTTACTATCTCTCTCCTCACAGATGAGTCGTGGCAGAAAACTGTAGTGCTAGCTTTCTTGCTTGATTGCATGCTGTGTTAGCCAATAAAGTGTGTGTGTGTGTGTGTGTGTGTGTGTGTGTGTGTGTGTGTGTGTGTGTGTGTGTGTGTGTGTGTGTGTGTGTGTGAGGTGTTTCTCCAGAGATGTGCTGGGTCAGCTCTGTGCCCACTCAACCCCCCCCCCTCCATCCATCTGTTTCGTTGAGCTAGTTATAAAATCTCAAGGTCATAGTGATGTGGGAAGACCACCTGCAAGGAAGTGAAGTGTAAACTTTCCCCTAAAATCTCTTTTATTCTCTCCTCTGCGCTCACCTTGTTTTTTTACCCCCTTTTTCAATCGTTCGCCACCTGCTCCGCTTCCGTTTCCTCCTCTGGCTGTCACTGCGTTTTCCACTGGTTGTTACAGGGTATGACCTCAGATGTGTGTGCTGTGAGCATGGAGCAAATCAGTAAAATAGCACTGTAATGATGGGAAATAAAACGTTTTAAACAAGTTATTTCTATATTATGGGAATCTTTTACAGAAAATGATGATTTTAAAGAATTACAATGTTTGAAATGACATCTTTATTTATGTGGTGCTGACAGAGGAAAAACTCCAACATGTCCTGCTGAGAATTGGTGCTGCTTTGAAATAAATAACAGCAAAACACTTAAATTAAATTAACATCCAAATTGATTAATTCTTCTTGGTGTTCTTAGTTTGTTTTTACACAAAACACGATCCTCTTGCTTGGCATCTTAAAACCCTGAAATCCTTTTCTGTTCTCAAAGTTGCATATTTGGACTTTCTATGAAACTAAAGTCCTTTTACTTGGAAAAAAAAAACGATTAGTGGTGGATTTATTGGATTGGAGAGCAACCTGATGGGAATTTGCCTCTAAAGATGATTTTCAAATTCAACCAAATCACGACTTATGCTTGAGTAAAACTGTGCAACCCGTTGAATGAAAGTACGGAAACATAACAGTACATTATTAAGTTAATCAAAAAAATGAGGAAATGTTCACTTTAAGGGATTATTTCGGTCTAGTTGAAGTGTTATTTTGCACATTCATTCTGTGTTTACTTTCGTAGTCCATTACTTTGTTCCCTTTTTTTACACAGTTTAGTATAAAAATAGTAAGTAGGATTTAGTAGTAGGAGAAACGGAAGTGATGCCAACAACGTCGAACTCTGATGATGACTAGAGGCATTTGTCAAAACATGTCAGGTAAAAAAAAAAACAACAACAAAAAAACAAAAATAAAGTAATGGATAGTTTAAGTGTTATATTGTGTAGAAATTAAACACTTATTTTATTGCCTCTAGCACATAGTTTCCCTATTGACATCTGGCTTTATACAGCTCCAACACGTCACAGCAGTCGGTGCAACTTATTTTTTTAAATAAAGCTCTAAGTCAATACTGCATAAGAAGGCTATTTATGCAGAATTTTCTATTGTAATTATTACACCCAGAAACATAACTGTTTACATTTTTGTTTCATCCGAGAAAATCTCTTCATATTAAAACTAGCTGTCAACAAAACATCAATGAAACAAACTGCAAACATATGGCTCGTTTTAATCAGGCACTAATTCTTTCAGCAAAGTTTAAAGTGACATGTTTTTTTCCTAGTGATAAGGGGCAGTACATACAGAAATTGTTGCGAGCACAGTGGTATTTTTGTGTTTGAGTAAGACATTACCAACGGATGGCCATTGTGGTCAAAATCCCTCGGAGCTCAATTTTCAAACGTGTACTGCATCAGATCGTTCAACCTCCAGTGAAATGACAAGAACATTCAAAAATAGATGTTGAAATAACATTTCAAATAACTGAAATGTATTTTTCTGAAATGTTTGTTTTTCTCAAATTTGAGTAAAATCTTTTGGAAATTTATATATATATATATATATATATATATATATATATATATAAGTTTTTTTTTCATAAGAAACAAATAAAGGGGCAATGCAGTGATCCACAAGGTCCAGTTTGGTGTGCCACCCTGTCTGGCCACACTTATCATAATGTTCTGGGGGTTCCCCTGTTTTATACCTGATTTCTAAGGCTGTCTGTTACAAAGACGCTAATATGTTTCATCAACTGGGCATCATTTAATTCATTCAACAACATTTTGATGGAGATTTCCAGAGATTAAAGGTAAAAACTACACATTGTCACTTTAAATACTCTTGATTCTGTAAAATCTTAGATCTTTATGCTGAGTTATGATGTAAAAACCTATTTTTAAAACATGGCTTCATTAAATCTAAAACTTTGTGCCATAAATGCTTCACTTGCTTCAGGAAGTCCTTCTTTTGTCAAAATCCTTATGTAATCCCATTAGTGGATCTCATCTTTGTGCAAAAAGAAATCTTCCTTCGTTTTCTCTGTTTTTCAGAAACCCAAACAATGACACCATGTTGTTTGACAAAAGAAAGCCTTTAAGGATCCCCAAGAGCCCTTATACATAAAAGGTTCAGTGAAGCCCACGTGCTATATTCTGAAGTCCCTGCACGTTTTTACTGAATAGTTTGAGCAAGGATGAGCTAACTCTGGACTCTAATATCACAAGTGCTGCAAGCAGTAATGAGGCCTCGTTTTACTTTTAACACTGCAGAATTTGCCGAACGCTTGAAAGCAGTTTGTCAGCATGTCAGACGTTTGGCTTAATGTCAAGGTGACCTGTGAAATGCAAGATGGAATGAGAACCTGGAAGGGTAAAACAAAAGGTAAATCAAGTACTGTTGGTGCTAAACTACAATGGTGGAAGGAAAATAATTTAGTGTTTGCTGAAAGTAATTAAAAAGTTAAAGATTTAAAGCTCATGGATTGCTATCATGGCATTCTATTTATGCATCTGTTTGTGCAATTGAGGGCAAGAGTGTGCTGCATTGAACACCAACTGATGGGAGCTGCCAATCTAAGGGAGGTGTTGGGTGACAGGGTGAGAGGAAGGTCTGAAGGCTGTCTGCATCAATCCAACATGTGACAGTCTGCATGGTTGGCTGGCTGAGACCATTTCAGCAAGGTGTTGTGGCAGTGGGAGTGTTTTATGTGAAGGCATTGGTAGAATTGATGTTTATTGATGCAGTACACCATACTTAATACTTATCTCTGAGATGCAGTCATGTGTTTCTTTTCATTATTCTTTATGTGATTAAAAGTTTGGACATTAGTTGAGAAGAATTTCACCTTAATCAGACAGAGGTCTAAACCC